CCCGGCCCGGCGGCGGGAGCGCTTCTCTTTTCCCGGATTCCCCCCAGCTCAGCGACACCGGTCAAAAACTTGGTAATTGGCCAAGTGCGTCTGTGAGGGAGGAGGGGAGGTGGTGTCTGTGTTGTCTCGGGCTGTTTGGAGGGAGGGGGGAGGCGTAGAGAGCTTTGTAGCTTTTTTATGCATCGTTTCCTAACAGAGGATTCTCCTTTGGAGAAAGGCCAAAGATCAGGTTTGAGCTGGAAATGTTAGCTGAAGTTTCTTCTGGGAAGTAAACCACTGCTATGCTGATTTTTACAAAACAGGTGTCTATGACCATAATTACTTTTCTCTCAGGTATTATATGCAAGGAGTATGTCGGGAGGGAAATAAGTGTCTGTTTTCGCATGACTTATCTACAAGCAAGCCGTCTACTATTTGCAAATATTACCAGAAGGGACAGTGTGCCTATGGAACTCGGTGCAGGTAAAGACCATAGTTTTGGGGAGGGGGGGGGGGGGGGATTCAGAACCAGAAATAATAATCATGTGCAGTAGGCCTTAGACTCCAGTGAATGGAAGATCAAGAAAGGATGAGACTTCTAAAATGACAAAAGGAATGAAATAATATATTAAATAATGAGGTGTTTTTTTTCCTCTGCCAAAACCAGCTTACGAATGCAATACTGTCTGGCTCCGTTTTAGCTTCAGCAGTTATCTTACTCTGTAGAAATTAAATTTCAGGTTTCAAGTGTATTTTCACCCAGTTCTTAGTAGTATTTTAAGAACTGTTAAATTATTAAGAACTGCTAAAAACAACCTTTGATGTGTACCATTGCACAAAGTAGTATCTACTGGAATTGTTTATTTTTCATATTGCTGAGTTGGATGGAAGCGGACAGTGTTTCAGAAGTGCTTTACTCAGTTCATGTGATGTAGGTTGGAGCCTTGTTCTTTCAGATCCTAATGCAGAATGTGGAGGACTGTCAGTTCTGTGTTAGAGCAAAGTGATTTTATTCACCCTCTGTCAGGTTCTGTGGGAAAGCGGAAGACGTGCCACACCCTTTCCTAAAGCCTTCTTGGTAAAATTCTTTGGGAAATACTCTAGTAAATATTAGATGTTAGTAAACGTTGTTACATCCCATGAGAGATGTGCCACAGGGCAACTCATGACTCCTTCATGGAAAAATTCTGGTCACAGGTAAGAAAGCTTTGTACGTTCACCTGAGAAGAACGGGAGATCTCACAGCATCGTTGTGTTTGCAATGGCTTAGTTGTATTTGCTTTTGGATTGGGAGATTGAATGTTAGTGTATTCTATAAGTGTCTTTAGTTGCTCAAACTGAATTTGTAGTTTATTATTCATCAGGACCACGTTGTATGCTGACTGGGAAATAAGTACAGCTGCAGAGCGTGTTGGTTTTACTCCAGTTGCCTTGTTGGTGTTCAGGGCACTTGATGCACGCAAGCTGTTCGTGTGTATGGCAAACTTGCAGGTGCTACGTACAGGGCTAGAAACAAACAGGGAGAATTCTCTCCTTCCCTTCAAAAATATTCTAGGATTCAGGTATGTCCGTGGCTTTACTGTACCAGCCTTTTTATTGCACTAATTGCTTCTGTTCTATTGCTGGAGTATATTTCCAGAGCTTTACTGGATATTCCGAGTCCTTTCCTAGCCCGTGTTCAAATAGTGCATCTTCTGCCTGTGGTGCGAGGGCATAAAGTTTGTGTTACTGCTTGTGAGGGGAACATGAGCGATCATAAAACGTCACTCATTACTGCATAGCGTTTTGATGTCGCTTTTTTGAGAAATGTCAGCAAACCTGTTTGTGTGAGGGAATGACGAATATCTAATTTAATATGCACATGAATAATGTTCTTTCAGCCATGCCATGCTGCACGTCTCCGGAGAAGAAAATATAGGTGTGCTTTCAGAGGCGTACATTTTCGTAGGTGTTTCAGAGACACTGAGAAACCCAGTGGCCTGGCTTTGAAAGGGACCGAGCTGACTGTTGTTAGGTCAACTTCTTGTCAAAATAACCCTTTTTTTAAGACAGCTATTCAGTTTGATTTATGTTAAATAAAGGCGAAGGTGTTCATCAGGGGACCTTTCCATTTCCACTATTCCCTGAGTTTAGTCTTTGTAGCGTTTATTCTGGCTTTTCCCTTCTGTAGATATGATCACACCAGACTTCCTGCGTCGGGGGGTGCAGCGGGTCCTGTGCCGCCTCCCCTTTCATCATCAGCCCTGCACAATCCTCGCCACCCCCCAGAGCAGAGCGCACCAGTAATCAAGAGCAAACTGCATGAGACTGGCAAACGGGAAAAGAAGACGTTAGTGCTCAGGGACAGAAGTGAGTACCTTGCTGACATTCCTCAATGCTTTCCTCTCATCTTTGATAGAAGTTAGCTAGTTTTACACCTCTAATTAATTATATTTCACTGACAGCTAGAGAGTGGTGTAGTATGCCTTCCTGCTTCATGAGATCCCTTTTCTCGAAAGACCCATGCCTGTCAGTAGCTTGTAATCATATCAGTTTTAACTGGCTGGTTTTTAACCTGGTGTTCCCTGAAAGATTTTTTTTCTTCAAGATTCCCTGCCCCTCAGATCTTTTTGTGCGTTTTGTTCTCAACATGAGGGCTTTTGAAATGGTGAGAAACTTGACTGCTTTATACCAGGGTATTGTCAGGTTGGGGGACTGAACTAGCACAAGCACAGAGACATCCTTCCGTACACGATTTCCCCACCCTGTTCTTCCTATCGCACTCTACGTGCCAGTTGCCCACATGTGAATTTGGAGGATTTTTGTCCTATTTGTAAGCAGAAGATAGCTAAAAAGACCTTAAAATCAGGCTTTGCAGCAGGTAGTTTGATGGAAAAAGTTATTGCGCTTTGTGAGCAAAAGGGGCTTTGAGATGAGAAAATTTCCTTCTAAAGAAAACTTTTTTTTTTTTGAACTGTCAATCATTGAAAAGAAAGTATGTGGAGCTCCATATGTGAGTTTTGTGCTGTGCCTTGAATGGTTCATGTTATGTTTCTATTTCTTAAGATCTGTGTGGTTTGAATGAAGAAAAGCAGAAACCCAGTGCCACAAGTGATGTGGTATGTTGCAGCGACAAAAATGATAATCTGGAAATGAAACCCCATTCGTATTTGGAAGCTATTTGCAGTGGACTGGAAGATCCAGTAGCTGGAAGTTCCTGTGTTGATGGAGAGCAGTTATGCCCTTACGCTGCAGCAGGAGCATGCCACTTTGGAGATCGCTGCCTTTACCTCCATGGAGACGTGTGTGAAATATGTGGATTGCAAGTACTTCATCCTTTTGACCAAGAACAGAGGAAGGCTCATGAGATGGTAATATTTTGGTTTGCTTGCTCTGAAATCCGAAGATGTGTTCTGCAGAGCAGCCTGTTGTTCCAAAGGGCTTTTTTTGTTTGTCGAGGTATAAAATGATTCTGAGAGAGGCCTGCTCAAGCATCTAGGACTTACACTCGTGGGTAGCAATGATGCAGATAGCCTTTCACAGCAACTTATTTTTCTCCCTTTCATCTTAATGGGAAACTTGCCTCCGATCTTCCCCCAAAACACCTAAAACTGTCTAGAAAACATCTTTTGTAGCTATATCAGATGTCTCAACACTATGTTATGTATAGCAGAGGGAGGAGGAATTCTAGAGAGCTGGTGCTTTCAGCTAGGTCATCCTGCCGGTCTCTGGACTCACCTCTTCAGATGTCGCAGCTTGATGTGGCTGCTTTTCAGGGCAGCATAAACAAACTGAACAGAGGACAAAGATTTTGGAGCTCAATTTGAGGCAGGAAGGCTGGTTGAGGAATTAGTTGGGTAAAGATGGGCTCAAGAGTCTGGTCTTTTCTCTTTTTGTCTGCCAGATTTGGGTAAGGGCTGAGAAGGAACAAGAGTTTTTGAGGCAGAGGAGGAAAAGACCAGAAGTTTTAGCGGTAAATGGTAAAGCTCTCCAGAGCCTAGAGTAGAATTCAAGGGGCCCAAACCTCGGCTCTTACGCTGTCAGCATTTGCTCGCAGCACATGCAGGGGTAGGAGTGCTCGCTTCCCCCAGGGGCTTGTTGATACTCGGCACGGTATCCTGTCACCGTTGCTGTCTGTTAGTCAGCCTCTGGAATGCTGGTGCTGTTAACGTGGAATTATTTTGTGTCCTTCTTTTCTTAAGTCTGTTAAATTTATGTTATTTGTCAAGTCCTGAGAATGATGAAAAGCAAGAGTTAAAACTATGCAATTATCGCCACCAGCTCACCTTACAATGCTGCGCAAGTAAATTGATTATTGATTGTCACTACTTGGATACTGTCAATGCTCTTGGAAAGCCAATAACAAGAGACTGTAATCCCTTATTTAGGATAAAGTTCGTGTGATATCTGGTGGATGAGGAGTGCAGCCTTACGCTAAACAGAGTAGCATCTTGAATTTGGCAATCTGTCTAATTCTGGATTGTGAATTAGATAGGTCCTGGGGGTAGATGAAGCATCTTGTGTGTAATTACTGTTTTATGACAGAGATGCAGGAAGGGTGCAAAACAAGGGCATTCAGGCAGCCTTATTTCTGATCTTTCTGAAGGTGAGGAGAAGCTGTTGGAGAACTGGAATATATGATCAGGCTTAATGTTCTTACATTTTATTATGATAAAGGGTAAGAATGATATTCTTGATGTGCTCTGTTTTTCCTTTAATACATCCCTTTCATAGATGCTTTGTTTTACAAGGAACAGGCTGATATATGGACCACAATAACCAAATATGTCTCTCTGACAGATGTGTATGGCAGCATTTGAGCATGAGATGGAGAAGGCCTTTGCCTTTCAGGCAAGTCAGGACAAAATGTGCAGCATCTGCATGGAAGTGGTGTATGAAAAGCCGTCAGCTTCTGAGAGGAGGTTTGGGATTCTTTCCAATTGTAATCACACCTACTGCTTGTCCTGCATCCGGCAGTGGAGATGTGCCAAGCAATTTGAGAATCCCATCATAAAGTAAGTTCATGTTAAACAGACTGTTCTCTGCGTGGCCTGTATGAGTGAGATGAACTCACCTGTGCGCTCTGACTTTATCTGGAAATAAATATGGTCTTCAGAGATTCTGTAGCTCTAAGTATTAACATGGCCATTAATAAGGTCTGAGCTCAAAATAATCCCAGTTCCAAGCGCTGGAAAGTTGCAAGACCTTAGCGTCTAGGCAAAGAACTAGTTTGAAGGGGAAGGGGTGCTTAAAACCTTTCCTGAGCTGCTTGAGGTATCAGAAGTTGCATATTTGATTCATGACCTAGTTTCTAACAAGTAATCAGTGCTGGTAGATGTCAGATCACATTTCAGAAGTCTTAGAGACCCTCCTTTTTCATTATTCGTTGGGTTTGGCTTGTCTTTGAGTAGGAGCTGCAGTACTCAGATAATAGTTAACTAATATGGTTTATTTCTGAGTCCTGGGACTCTTTAGCCATATTTGTTCAAGAAATGCCTATTACTTTTTCTCAAATCTTGAAACAAATGCAAGCTAGTGCAAGCCAGACTGCCCTGAAGTGGATCATTTCAGCTGAAACATTAATTAAAAAAAAAAAAAAAAAAAGTGTGCATATGCACTGTACCTGTCTCTGAAACATTGCCTAACACTTCAGTGTGAAAAATCCTTTCCCTTTCACTCAGGAAACTGCTGTTTTTTTGGCTAATTAAGCAATTTTGTCCTCTGAGAAAGTAATTGCCTGGTTGTCTTGGTCCATTTAGGTCTTGTCCAGAGTGCCGTGTGATATCGGAGTTTGTCATTCCTAGTGCATATTGGGTAGAAGACCAGGAGAAGAAAAATAAGCTGATTGAAGCATTTAAGCAGGGAATGGGGTAAGTTCATTAACTACAAGTACTGTTTATATTGTCCTTGAGATACACTAAGACTTCATCGATCAAAATGCATGTAATTCTTAAAAGTTCTTTACACAATTATAAACCATTCTACAGAACTCTAATCTCTGTTAGAGGCACACCATTTTTATTTAACTTTGCAATTACCATGCAAAGTTCTGTCAGAGGTCCGTCATAGTTGTAGATCAGAAGTTGTCTTAATCTACTACGCTCTGAAACGTTGAAGATATTTCAGTCCACTTGCTGAAGCTGGATTTGTGTGTTTTCTACTGTCTGAAATCCCTTCTGTAACTAAGGGAACAAATATGGAAGGAAAATACAATTTTTATGCTGATCTCTTGAAATACAGGCTCATACTTCATAGAGCTTTTGTAATGTCTGCTGGAAATGGAAAAAAATTACATGAATGAATTTCCTTTATTGTCTAATAAAGATCTGCCTGATTATTGGAGCACTGGAGAGTTCTGCTACAAGATAGTTTTAAAACAGGTTTGAAAACCTTTGTTTGCCTTGAATATGTAAGGGCTATTTAGATCACAAGACAGTAAAATACCGTTACTTTTCTCATTGCCCACTCCTTTCATTGCCCACTCCTTTTATTGGTAAACAAGTAGTTTTGGTTTTGTTTGTGCTTGAACTGAGCAGGTCATGACTATTTCGCAAAAGGTTGTGTGGCTTTATTCTGTGATGTGCGCTAACTGTTTAAGCATGCTATTTGGAGCGCCTCTTATGGAGCAAATATGCATAGCTTAAATCTGTGCATAGGTGTTGCCACTAGCTTTTAAGCTTCTTGGAAAGCTTGAAGTTTCTAAAGTCACGTTATAACCTAGCAGAAAAATTGCTGAAAGCATTACTACACAAGTAAATGTTAATTCAGCCTTGTTTCAACTTGCATTCAGGAAAAATATTTGAATAGTATGGATCACTAAATCGAGGGTCTTCAGATACTGTTTATTTCATTTCCAGTATCGCATCCCTCTTGTTGTTAATTATTAAGGACCTTGAAAATAATGGTTTTTGTGTTCAAAGTTTAGTGCAGTTTTAAAACAGCCATGTTCTGAATAAGGTAGCCTTTTTTGTTTTATTAGAATAGCAGTGTTGGGTAGTGTTACAAGTTGGGTTTCTGGTTCTTGTCAAACTCTTGTATGCAAGAAAGAATTAGAATCCATAAAGGGTTTTTGCTTAAGTGCGATAACGTATTGTGTTGAGGGCACAATTTTTGTGCCTAAGTTTTTTATGAATAGATCTACTGGCAGTCAGTTTAACTTGATGATGTGGCATTACATGGAATGAAAAAAAATGCTAATAATATTCATGACGGGGGGGTCTTAAGCTAAAAGCAGGGGTGATCCTAGCACAAATCCATTCTGATTCAGCAGTGTGAATGGAGGCTTTTCAACAGTGCCAATTACTAAACTAGCAAAAATAAAAATGCAACTTCATTTAAAAACATGCTTTTGTGCTGTTGAAGCTGTAGACTGAATAGGATCAAAGCAAAACTTCTGCTTCCAAAGGGGGTTGCTAAGACTTGCAATATTGCTACCTGAAATAACAAAATATGGCCCTCCTGACATTCTTGCAACCATGATTCTTTCTTCTCTCACCTAAATATTGGAAATACAGTACCTTTCCCGCCTGTTTTCACCAGGTGTGGTATCACTGTTCTCCACTCTCTCTTTCTAGTTGGATTATCTTCGTCTCCTGCAGATGTGCCCTACCCCTGCTCAGCGCTGAGCAGTGTGTGGCAGCTCTGGGTGCCCTGAGCGCCAAGGACCGGCTGCCTTGTCCGGCTGCTGCCCCAGCTCCCTGTGCTGCAGGCCCCAGAGCCTGCTTGTGGGGCTGGGCTGTGCAGCCCCAGCCCCAGCCCCTCCCCTGTGTATTTGCTTGGACTGTAATGAAGTTGAATACTGGAAATATTTGTACTCAGAATGTCTTAGTTAGTTAACTGTGGTTAGGACATGCTTGCAGGTAAGTGGAAGGCTAAGCCATAAAGCATCATGCTTCACAGAATCAGCAGTGTTTCTGTTGTATTTGATCATGACTCCTATTATGATGAAAATACTCCTTTTTTCCAGTAGAATCTGTAAAAAGGGGATAGGAACGTTTAAGTAAGAAGTTATTCAGAAAAAGTGAGATCTAGAAAGCTGGGAGTCACACACCACTTCTATTCTAAACCAAGACAAGTTAGTCCTGCTTCTACTGCACTGCCTCTTCTTTTTTTTGTTGCTTTCTTCTTGTTCATTTAGTTGCTATTTGACAAACTTTATCTAGGTCTTAAGAATCACTTTCACCACTACTTGTGTATACAGGTTACAAATTAAGTAGCAATTTCTCTGTAGTGTCCTCTTTTTCATTGTAGAACAATCCACTAACTCTCTCCCCTACCCCCCGCAAAGTAGTGTTATAAAAGAACACTGCATGATCAGGAATACCTCTATAAAAACTGTCACACAGCCAAACCGCTTAGTTGAACAATAAAGCTGATGGAAATGTCAACTAACAAATTAAGAGTGTTGTCCCAGCACTTCCAAGGGAGATGATGAGAGGACCTGGTTCATAAAAGTGAACGGGTAGAAAGTATAGGGGAGGAATGCTAGAAAAACAGCAACAGATTTATTTATTGTGATGAAAATGCATCTCTGTGCAACGCAGATGATGTTCTTTAAGCAATCTTAGACCATGGAAAGTAAAAGATTTTTTTTTAGGCGTTAGGTGCTAGTCTCTTATGTATTCCCTTGTTCAACATTAATTAGCTTTACCATGTATTTTGACTGCTATCAGGGAATAGCAGAGCAAAACTCTCTGTGTTAACAGAAGCAGTACCTTGCATCGCTAAGGACAAGAGAAGCAGCTGTGGAGAGACGCCTAAGCCGAAGGAGCATGAACTGTATTTACTTTCTTACTACCTGAAGGCATAACTCTCTCTCTTCTAATCAAATCAGGAAAAAAGCTTGCAAGTACTTTGAACAAGGAAAGGGAACTTGCCCGTTTGGAGGAAAGTGTCTTTACCTTCATGCTTATCCAGATGGGAGGCGAGCTGAACCTGAAAAACCAAGGAAACAGCTCAGCTCTGAGGGGACTGTTCGGGTAAGGGAATAGTCAAGTCAACTGTAATTAAAAACACTTTTAGAATATAAAGTGGTACTTCTCTAGGTCTGTGCTTTATATGAAACACTTAGTCCAGAAAACTTCTCTCAACGTTTCCTGAGGCAAAGGGTTTTTTGTTTTTTTTAATTTATTAAGGAAGGGAGAAGTTACCTTTTATTTAATAGCAAAATGTTGGGTCTTGTTTGTTTTTGAAAACAGTTCTCCTACTTGCAGACTTTTTCTTCAAAGGAATTCCACAGTTAGAGCTTTCAGCTCTAGTACTAGAAATTAATTACTGACAGCAGTCAGTAAGACCAGCTGAAATAATTACAGCCACTTCAAATATTTGCTATTGCTTGGCCACTGTTCCGAATGATTAAGGCTGGCTGAATACTTTAAGAATAGTTAAATATAGCTCATTAATGTTACAATGTGAATAATAGTTTAGGTCAAATTAGCTAAACAGAGTGGTTGTCACTTTGAACTTAATTTAACTGCAAATATTGTGGGGGGGAGGGGGGCGCCAGTAAATACTAGCGCAAACCCAGCTTTTTAGTCTTAACTCCAGATGTGACTTTTTTTTTTTTTTTTTTTTTTAAGGAAGCAGCAAGAGTGATATGGGAAGGTATTTTACTTAAACTGTGCCAAGCAGTGGTTCATGCTAAGTTTTCTTCTATTGCAGTTCTTCAATTCTGTTCGCCTCTGGGACTTTATTGAAGACAGAGAAAGTAGGACTGCATCCAGCACAGATGATGAAGTAACAGAACTTGGAGAACTTTTCATGCACCTCTCTGGGGCTGATGAAGATTCTGCTACTTCTCCATAAAAAGAACTAAAGGTGCTTTCTTGTATAGCAATCCAGCTATCTATTTACTTTTTACAGTACAGATGGAATTAATGTGCCCTGTGGTTTTCTTGTGGAATTCTGGTAAATCTTTCAGATAACTTTTTAAATATATCTTAGAATTTTTGTTGCTATACAGAAACTAAATGGATTGCATGGAAAAATCCCTTACTCCCACAAGGGTTTTCTCTTTCTTTGGCCTAACATGCTGTCTTGTAAGTTGAGTGGTAGTGTAAATAGAGCTCCTGTCTTCCCCTTTAAAGCTTAAGCTGTTAAAAAGCTGTTGAAGGCTGTTGCTAAATCTGCTGTGGGTTGGCTTTTTCTTGGTTATTTTTCCTTCTTAAGTCAACTAATGTATATCTAGGAAAATCCACTAGGAAAAATGGTCAGTGTAGCTTTTTCTTTCTTCAACAACAGATTTAAAAACCTAATACATTATACCTCAAAGTACCTAGAGTTTAGGAAAAAAAAATGCAAGCTTACTGTATTCTTACAGTGAATAATTCAGTAATGGGACCTGGCTGTCAAAGACTGTGCAAGTTTGGGTCCTACCTTTGTTTTATCTTAAGTGTTTTATCTTAATCAAGTGAATACTGAGAGGAAGTGTCACTTAGCATCTGTTGTAAAGCAAATGCAGCTATACTGATTAACATATGCAGGCAGAGCAGCAGAATCAACACTGGAATTGCAACATAAAGCAAAATTAAATTACAACACAGATCAGATTTTTGAAAATATAGAATGGGAATAAGTTAACTTTCAATATTCATTGCAACAGTAATACTTCAATTTTTGTTCAGTTTGACTAGTTCAAATGTATTTAACGTGAAGGAAAACCAAAATTAAATGAAGCAATCACAACTATGTCAATGATCTTATGGTCTGCAACTATACAAAATAAATTATTTCAGTTACAGGAGAAGCAATTAGTTTTTACTGATGCTTATCATAACTGCGTGCCTAGTAGATGCTTAGGCTTTTCCTTCTCTATGTATTTGTAATGTATTACGGTATCTGTCTTTCTGAAACCATAATATATTACTATAATGCTCCATTTCCATGCATCCCCTGTCACAACCAGCGGGCACCATTAATAGACCGCAGGTAAAAGCTCAAATATTGCCCACATAAATAACTTTTAGCATGGTTGCACCATAGCCTTTTGCGCAGACTGTCTCCAGTGCTCTCTGTCATAGTCTTACTTCTACTTTTAGCAGCTGGCTACCTTCTAGTGTAACAGTTCCTGAGTAG